GTACCTTCAGAAATGGAGTGTCCTGAAGACTTTCTGGCCTTCTGTTTAGTATTCTACCTAAGCTGAGTCACTTCTGGGGAAGTCATGTTGTATTATGAGTCTGGTTTTGGAGTATTGTTGGGGTTTTAGTGTTTGCTTTGGTTTTCTTCCATCCCAGTAGAGTTGTTCAGCTTCAGAGTACTGCACACCTCTGTGCTGCTAGAAGAATTCACCAGCTCTTAAAATCACTTTGTAGAAACTAGTTTCTATGTGGTGTGAAACTTGTGAACGCTGACAGTGGGTTCCTGTTTTTGTTTGCAGCAGGCTGAAAACACTGGACTTCCAATCCTGTGAGCCTTGTAACCCCTCTAAACCTCTTGTTTTTTGCAAAGGCTTGCAGAAGGAGAGCAGATCTTATCTGGTGGAGTGTTGAATAAACAGAAAAGCCATGATGACATTGTGATGGAGTTTGGTGACTCTGCATGCTTTACGCTCTCCTTACTGGGACATGTCTACTGGTAATGTTGCTTTTCTATTGTGTCTAATAAAGCTTGCGGAGAGGGGGGATTATTTAACCAAGTCCAGTTTTAGTCAGATACATTTTTAGTATACCTGTTCTCCAGTTCACAAGAAGCCAGATACTTAGGTATGCAGTTTAGCCCCAGAGTTATGTGTAAAAGCATCATCCATAGATATTTAAAATGGCTGGAAGGCGAGCAATGGGCTTGCTGTTAGCAAACAAGACAAAAAGCCATTGCAGAGAGCAGCATCTTCCTAAAATGAAAACTTTCAAGCTCTACTAGTGCTTCTGTAACTTTTGAGGACTCTGTTGTCTTTCATCTGTGTCTGAATATGCCAAATAACTTGAAAAGAAGCCAGTATTGCTCTGTGGTTTGAAACAGTGAGGAATGTTGCTGTGACTCTCAACATGCTTTTGTTTTTCAACCCCTCTTCTAGAAAGCTATCTTGAACAAAAGTGCTGTTTCAGTTTCCCTATAAACTGTTACATTCTTCTTGCAGCAAGACAGACCGGCTTGCCAAAGGATCAGAATGTTACCAAAAGAGCCTTAGTTTAAATCCTTTCCTCTGGTCCCCTTTTGAGTCGCTATGTGAAATAGGTAAGTCAGCAGAACTGCATTCCCAGTGAAGATGTTCTCTATGTTTCTGGTTATGTCAAGCTTTCCAATTTATATTGGCAAAGTTATTACACTCCGTTTGCTCATTGAATTAACAAGAAACATGCCAGCAGAATTCTCTGGGAGTGGTTTTGAGAGCAGCAATGCATTTAAAACACTGTGCCAGTGTTTAGAGCTTTTGTCTTGGTTTCTTCCGTTCTCGCTACTTTGGATTTAACAATACCACATTTGCAACCTACAGTTAATAGACCCTTAGAAACTGTGCTTCTGAGAATATGTAGCAAGTCCATTTTCTAATCAAACTGGTTGTCCAGGGTTTTGTAGTGGAAGAGCACTGCTGGTTTAGTGTAAGGGGTTTTAAACAATGAAGTAAGAACACACCCCTTCTAAAATCCTTTGCCCCTTGTTTCAGATTTGAATATTTGGGGTATGGACTCAGGAATAACTCTGTTTAAATCTCTTTCCAATCTTACAGGTGAAAAACCAGACCCTGACCAAACATTTAAGTTAACATCTCTCCAGAACTTCAGCAGCTGCCTGCCTAACACTTGCACAACATTGGTATCTAATCACAACGTAACACACAGGCAGCCTGAGACTGTCCTGATGGAAACGCCTCAAGACACAATTGTGAGTTTTGCTGAAGTAGTTGTATTTAAAGTGAGGGTTTTTTCCACCTTAACTGAAGAATGCAGAGTAGAAACTACACTGAGTATCTCACAGCCACCTTCTGTGTTTCAGGAGTTGAACAGAATCAACCTTGAATCCTCCAATTCCAAATATTCCTCCTTGAGCACGGATTCTTCTATGTCTTACATTGACTCAGCTGTAATTTCACCAGATGCAGTCCCTCTTGGGTCAGGAACTTCTATATTATCTAAACAGGCTCAAAATAAACCAAAAACGGGGCGAAGTTTACTGGGAGGACCTGCAGCTTTGAGCCCATTAACTCCAAGGTAAGTCCTTGAGATAGTTTCTGTCTGCAGCTGTGAGTTTGAAACGTGTGTGGTGGTGCACGATGTACCCATACACTCATGTTGATAGCACATTGTAAAGCTGTAGAAGGAAAAGCAAAACAACCTCAGTAACTGCTTTTGGGCCTGGTGTTCATCTCTTCTGTTTTCTAAACAAGCAGTTGGTGTTTTTGATTAGAAGAGAGGAACTGTTGATTCAGTGTATTGCTGATGGCGATGTTCGCACTGGAAGAATCTTTAAAAGAGTATGTTTCCTCTCTGGGATAAACTTTGTGATGAAAAGCTGTTCTTATGAGCCTGAAGAATAGCTCCATTCTAAGGACATGTAAACATGTGCTCAGTGCTGCATTTAAACAGCATTATGTGAGAAGCCATTAATGCTTGGATGGTCTGTCTATTGCATTAGGTTATTATGCAGACAGGCAAAGGAAGTTCTGTCTTTTTGATTTCAGGAGTGTTTTCTGTTAAAATCTATCTCAGATGAGGAGAGCAAGATACTAGAGGGTTAACATCAATTGATTAAGTAACTCTGAAATGAAGTAGATCATCTGGATCTGTTTCAACCACAGGATCAGGCCAGCTCTTGTGCTCTAGCATCCAGACACTGAACCTTCCTCTTTGTTTTCTTCCAGCTTTGGAATTTTGCCACTAGAAACCCCAAGCCCTGGAGATGGGTCCTATTTACAAAACTACACAAACTCTTCCTCTGTAATTGATGTGCCATCCACAGGAGCACCTTCAAAGAAGGTATCTTGCATTCTGGGTTGCTGTTCTACAAGTTTGATGTTGCAATGTACTTTAAAGAAGAATCCATAATGCAGATAGAAAAACATTGCATGTAGGCTGAACTGTACTAACAGTGGGGAGAGCCCAATTTACCCACTGCAAAATGAGTTTTGAAAGACAATTTGTCTGAGTGTGGAATTGCTTGAAGCCTCCTTAAGTTGTGGAAATGTTTTGGGTTTATTAAGTGAGAATCTAATTTATGTCTAATGTGTCTACAAAGCATGTTTAGAAAAACCCATCCCCTGATCTTACTAACAATTATTTAATACAGCAAAATAAAATGTAGTTCACCAGCTTTAAGTACATCTTCATCAGGGTCTGGAGGGACTGGCCAAGGGGAATGGCTTTAACCTGCCAGAGGGGAGACGGAAATGAGCTCCTAGGCAGAAGCTCTTCCCTGTGAGGGTGCTGAGGCGCTGGCACAGGGTGCCCAGAGAAGCTGTGGCTGCCCCATCCCTGGCAGTGTTCAAGGCCAGGTTGGACACAGGGGCTTGGAGCAAGCTGCTCCAGTGGAAGGTGTCCCTGCCTGTGGCAGGGGTTGGAACTGGAGGAGCTTTAAGGTCCCTTCCAGTGCAAACCTTTCTGGGATTCTATGCCACCACAATACTGCAAGGAAAGATGTCTGTAGACGTTTTCAGCTTATTGTGACACTTCCTTTGGCTGGCAAACCAGATTTGTTTCCTCACCTTTTATAATGATAAGCAATAGTCTTCCATTTCTAATTAAAACAAGCCCTTTTTTCCACACCCAAAATACACAAGCATGGGCAGGCTGATCAGCTGGTGCTGCAAGAGACAGCCAGAGGAAGGTGCTGTGTCCACCTCCTGTCTTGTCCCAGTGCTGGTGATTCTAAGCAGTGAAGGCTTCAGAACTCCTCAGGCTGCAAGCTGGAGTCTGAAGACAGTCCAAAATTAGAATGAAAACTCCAGGTTTGTTTAATGAATGTATTTGCAGGGATGACTTCAAATCATCCAGAAATCCTCAGCTGAGCTGAAGGTACTGGGTTTTTGCATGCAGTTCTTGAAGTCTGCTTTGCAGACCAGAGCAATCCAAACGGTGCTGTGGTCTGTGGAGGGCTGAGTGCTTCACTCAGTAACTCTTGTGTAGAAGGCATGAAAAACTGTCTTTTTTACTCCCTATGAAACAGCCTTAGTTGCCATAGTGATAAATGGGAGGTAGAATGCTGGTGACAGTTGAAGAACCATTTGTTCCTTTCTAAAAACAAAAACCTGAGGATTTTTCTGTCTATTTTTAGTAAGTCTTGAAGTTGTGTGAGGGATGTAAGTGTGCAATAGGTGGCCAACTCTCTCATGTAAAAACTCAGGGCACGGAATAATGTATTCCTCACAAAATAGAACTTGAATTTCCGTGCTTGATGCTCAGGACACATCAGTTGGTTGCTGTGTCATCCTGTAAGTGGATTTCACTTCACATTACTGCAGCGCTTTCTATCACTTCTTGGTTGTGGTTTTGGGGGTTTTTGCCTTTGTTCTCTTAGGGCTGGACTCTGCTAAACCCGTCTGCTAGAAGGGTGTTTCGTGTCTCTGATCCAGTTTCCATCCCGTAGTTGCTCAGGGCCAGCCAGGTTTCCCCAGTGCAGTTGAAAACACTGGCTTGTGGTGGACTGTGCATGTGTAGGAAGGTAAATTTTCCTGACTCTGAATAATAGAAGCAATTAGTGAAGTGCAGCTCTTCAGTGTAGCACTCACCTGCATTTCATCTCAGTGTGTACTACATGCACTACAAAGCTTTGCATCTAGCAAGTTGTATTTGCTGCTGTTTTGTTGCTTTGCTGGATCACAGAATCATAGAATAGTTCGGGTTGGAAAGGACCTTAAGATCATCCAGTTCCAACCCCCCTGCCATGGGCAGGGACACCTCACACTAAACCATATCACCCAAGGCCTCGTCCAGCCTGGCCTTGAACACTGCCAGGGATGGAGCATTCACAACCTCCCTGGGCAACCCATTCCAGTGCCTCACCACCCTAACAGGAAAGAATTTCCTCCTTAGATCCAACCTAAACTTCCCCTGTTTAAGTTTGAACCCATTACCCCTTGTCCTGTCACTACAGTCCCTAATGAAGAGTCCCTCCCCAGCATCCCTATAGGCCCCCTTCAGACACTGGAAGCTGCTATGAGGTCTCCACGCAGCTTCTCTTCTCCAGGCTGAACAGCCCCAACTTCTTCAGCCTGTCTTCATACAGGAGGTGCTCCAGCCCCTGATCATCCTCATGGCCGTTCTCTGGGCTTGTTCCAACAGTTCCATGTCCGTGTTCCATGTGGCACCACAGCACCGAGGTGTGAATGTCACTAGTCCCTACATCTGGTTTCTGTCCAGATGCATCTGTGCTCCACAAAACACAGCTATTTAACATGTCTTTTAATAACAGCTTAGAATTCTGCTGCTTGCTTTGCCCAATGCAAATAATTACTTGGCCAATTTCACTTCTGCTCTTCAAGTGCCTGAGTTAGAAAAGGTTGAGTATAGCTGTGGCTTAAACGTGCATGACTTAACGGAGGCAGTTTCCTAGGAAACTGTTACATAAATGAATGAAACATTAGGATGGATCCAGAGGCTTCCTATCTGAGTGGGCAAGCATGCTACTGGCTGCCTAAACTGGCCTCTGGTAACAAAGGAACTGAGAAGGGAAGGATAGAATGTTAGAAGTCAGATAATGCATAAACTGGTGTTGCTTGTGCCACCACTGATCTCTCTTTCTGATTCCTGGTGTGTGAAAGATCATTTTTTCCAAACAGCCATCACAGAGTTGAATGTAAGTGTCCCTGGAGGAAGCAGAAAGCTTGGGTTTAAGCTTTCTTTAAAAGGCAGGGAGGGTGGGACCTGTTGGGAAGCCTTTCAGACAATGACTTTTCTGCCTGAACTTCCTCCTTAGGTCTCACATTCACAGTCAAGGTATCACAGCTCTAAGTTCCCACACCTCAGCTGTGCCAGGCCAGACAGCAAAGTGCACAGTTTAGCTCTATGAAGCTGTGTGAAGATATAAGATGACGTTTTGGTGCTAAGTCGTAGAATCATAGAATCGTTAGGGTTGGAAAGGACCTTATGATCATCCAGTTCCAACCCCCGTGCTGTAGGCAGGGACACCTCACACTAAACCATATCACCCAAGGCCTCGTCCAACCTGGCCTTGAACACTGCCAGGGATGGAGCATTCACAACCTCCCTGGGCAACCCATTCCAGTGCCTCACCACCCTCACAGGAAAGAATTTCCTCCTTAGATCCAACCTAAACTTCCCCTGTTTAAGTTTTAACCCGTTACCCCTTGTCCTGTCACTCCAGTCCCTAATGAAGAGTCCCTCTCCAGCATCCCTATAGGCCCCCTTCAGATACTGGAAGCTGCTCTGAGGTCTTGTAACTTGTGTCAAATAAAAGGTACAAAAGGGTGTGTGTGCACGGTGTTGTTCAACCAATGTGCAGTAACTTGCTGCTCCATGTTAACTTCACTCCGAGTACCTGTAACTTTAAATATGGCATCTTTTCATTCCCTTTTATTCTTGTACAATCAACATACAGTTTCTTGCCACTAGATGGAGATTTTGGATCTTTCAGCTGATGTGCATAAAGTTGGTAAACTTCCTGATGTTTTAAGAGGTAGCATGAGGGATACTTCTGATGGTTGCTCCTGGGGATGAGGGGGACACCTCACCCTTTACTGAAAGAATCTCTATTTATCCTCCTTTATGCAGTGGTTGCTAAGCAGACTAGATTTGGTAGAGCAGAAATCGAGCTTCCTTAGTGACATAATAACAAACCAGTAGAAACTTTGTGTTATGCAGGCTGTCAGCAGGATAAGCCAAGCCGGAACGAAGTCTGTCTTCTCACAGAGCGGAAATAGCCGGGAAGTCACTCCAGTTCTTGTTGCACAAACCCAGAGCTCTGGCCCACAGACAAGGTAAGGGGAGAGGAAAGAAGTCCTCTTGGAATTCAGTTTTGGGAGTATCTGTCCTTAGAGTTCTTGAGTGTCTCTGTTTAAAACAAAGATAAAAGCTGGGGTTACGAAAAATGGAGCCAAGAACTTATTTTTTTCCCCATGTGCTGCTTGTTTTCAGTACAACACCTCAGGTATTGAGCCCAACAATTGCTGCTCCACCAAACTCACTGCCTCGAAGAAGCTCTCGCCTCTTTACTAGTGATAGCTCTACTACAAAGGTAACCAACTTCATGTGTTCCAGACTTGGGGGTTTTCTTATCCATGCCACTGTGCTGACTAATGCTTTCCCCATCTGTATAGCAGCTGAAAAACAGATTCTGTGATGAGCAGAACTTTTATGAAGCATGTGGCTGTATAAAACATGTCATGATGCCATAATATGTTGGGTTTTAATCTGCCAAGTGCTCAACCAAAGCTGTAGAAGGAAGAGTATCATAATCAAATACAAAGATGCATGCTTGTGGTGATACATGCTTGGCACTACAAATGCAGTGGTGCTGCTAGCTGTCAGCCCATTAGAAAAGAGGTGGTGGTGTTCAGAGCTATTTATTGAAGAACTCGTTTTGAGCAGATACTTTTCTTCCCCAAACCAAAGTAATTTTCCTATGTTCTGCTCCATTGTTTGAAGAGCAGAACAGCAAAGCACAAATACTCATGGTCTGCAGTTAGGTGATGTGAATGTTTGCTGTTTAAGAAGGAACCACTAAATAGCCAGTGTAGTTACTAGGTGCCTGTGTACTTGAGCTTAAAAGTCAAGTGGCTGGGCATGGTGGCTCCAGCTGCAGAGAGGCATACATGTAACTCTGCACAATTCACTTTCAAGTTGGATTTTCTGCATTTAAAAGACTTCTCTGTGTAACTCTGACTCTTCTTACTTGCAGGAAAATAGCAAAAAATTAAAAATGAAGTTTCCACCTAAGATTCCAAACAGAAAAACAAAAAGTAAAACAAATAAGGGAGGAATAACTCAACCAAACTTAAATGACAGCTTGGAAATTACCAAACTGGACTCTTCCATCATTTCAGAAGGGAAGATTTCCACTGTTGCACCACAGATCCAGGCTTTTACGCTACAGAAGGCAGCAGCAGGTCTGTTAGAACCCTACTGGACTTTATTAGAGTAAAACTGTGTTTTAAGGTTGAATGGAAAGAAAAACCAGTGTTTGCTGCTTTCTTATTTCAGTAGGCCTGCACAGCTATCACCTTTGTATAAAATCTGGTTGAATTCAGTATCTTCTAGTTCCAAAGAACAAGTCAAGAAGTATTAAAAGCGGCTAATTGTAAGCAGCTACATCTTGCAAGCTTGGATCCTCATTAATGATTAAAATGCTTTTAGGCAAGATCCTTGGAAACTGACTCAAAGGAGCTCTGAGTAACCCACTTATCTTCCCTCAAAATCAGGTTTATAGAATCAGTTCTCCCTTCATATTTCCCATTTGTTTAAAACCAAGTCTTTATTCAGATTGTCAGAAAATCCTAGACAAAGTGCTGAATTCCTCTCTTTTGGCTCATTAATATTTCCAGGCAGCAAGAAGATGTATCCAGGGATACCAGACGTGTGGAAACTGTATTCAGACCTAACAAAATGTTTGAATAGCTGCTGTAAATGCAGAGCTGCAGTTGCTCTGAACTCGAGTGTTTCTGAGTGTTCTGTTGCTGGCTGAAGCAGTTGTTTCTATGTGACTTCCATTATAAAGGCTGCTGGTTAGAATATTATTCCTAAATTGAGAGTGTAGAAGCCTGTGTGTGGGATCTCCTGGAAGATTTTCATAGGCAAAGTCAGGAGCAGTGCCTGTTACAATGAAGAGCTGGAGGGATTATCAAGTAAATAAGTCTCAGTTGTCTTTCTTTTCCACTTGTATTTACTGTGGTTTTCTCCTAGAAGGTTTGATGAGCCTTCTTCGTGACATGGGGAAAGGTTACTTAGCCTTGTGCTCATACAACTGCAAGGAAGCGATCAATATCTTAAGCCATTTACCATCCCACCACTACAACACTGGCTGGGTGCTGTGCCAAATTGGGAGAGCTTACTTCGAACTTGCAGAATATATGCAGGTAGGAACTTTTCCCTTTTGTTTTGCATAGCTTTCCACAACACCTGCAGCTGTCCTGCGGAAGCTATAGGAAGTTTACAGTTAAGGTAATCTTAAAGGCTTTTCCAACCCAGTTGATTCTATATTGTGTTTATTTTGCAAACTAAAGCTATGGACCATAATGTTTTCCTAAAGCTAGGCTGCTGCTTCCTTTCTTGTGCCTCAAGTGTTGTAACTGGAGCTGAAGTTTATAAAAGGGATAATTATGTCAGAAAGACTTCATTAGGCAACTGTTGATAAAAAGTGTAGCTGTCTCACATGGAAGTAAAGCACATCTATGTGTTGTCATGTGTCCCCATCCCTGCATCACCCACGTTCACCACGTGCTGCCTTTTCCCTCGTAATTATTATACACGACGCCTGGAGGGCTGGAGCACTCTGTGAATGCAGTACCTTCATCTGTCAGAAAAGCTCATGATCAGAACTGGACCATAAAAGTATGCTACACTTTTTGTGGGTACCTTTTTTGCCTTGCTTGTGATTAAAAACAGCAACATAAAGTGAGTCAGCATAAGAAGGGTGGCTGTGTTTCTGTTGGGGTATAGTTCCTTCCTTCACTTGGAGGGGAAGTCGCAGGACTTGGAGCTCTGTGTAGTAACTTGCAAAGCAAAGAGAATGCTCAGTCTGGACGTGTGAAGCTTGTAACCTTGACCTGTGTGCTCTGCTTTGGTGGGTGGGATTTTGGTTTAATTTCTGTTCTTAGGCTGAGAGAATATTTTCAGAAGTAAGAAGGATTGAAAACTACAGAGTGGAAGGCATGGAGATCTACTCGACTACGCTGTGGCATCTGCAGAAGGATGTTGCTCTTTCAGTTCTCTCAAAGGATTTGACAGACATGGATAAAAACTCACCAGAGGTATAAAATGCTGTGCTCTTGAATGAGAAGAGATTAACTGTATGTGGCAAAATCAGTGGTTCAGAACAGTGCTCTGATCTAGCTCAGGTGTATTCTCCTGTGAAAACTGCATGGCCAAACTGGTTTGTTGAACTGATGATGCCTGAGATGGCTTCCTGGAATTCCAGCTTCAGTGGAACAGGTTGAAACCTTTTTATCTGTTAATGATTATTTAAATTTGCATTGGCATCATTCATCCAGGAAGATCATGGGTTACTCACTCTTCCTGCTGCCAATA